TATATATATATATATACGTGTGTGTGTGTGTGTGTGTCTGTATGCATATATAATCATTCATATTGGCTTGCAATATATCTAAAAAATAATGGGTTACTGAAATTTTTAACTTTTGGTAATGTCACCATTTCTTCTTATAGTACATAAAATATGTTAAAGTTTTAGGTGGTGGATCATGTTATATTTTTGGTCCCAAATTCTCTAGGTTGAAGGCAGGTTGGTCCAGTACATGTTCCCTCTTCTTCCACAGCCATGCCTTTGTAATGTGTGCAGAATGTGTTTTGAAAATGTGTGGATGTCCCTGGTAAAAAAAATAAAATATAGGTCTTCAAGGCACCATGCGTTGCTATAAAATGTCTAATGGACCTAGTTGCAAGTAGAAATGGCCCAAGTTTGTACCACTACAGAACCAGACTTTTAGACTAGTTGCTGAAGCTAGTCTGGATGTTATAAAATTTAAGTCAGATCCTCTGGACATTCAAAAAACAAAACAAAGCAAAACAAACAAACAAAAAAAATGTCGTAACGTTTCATCTTTCATCTGTGTTTTGGAGCACAAGTTAGGAGTCATCAGGACTCTGTACCACAGAGCAGACAGCATCCCCACTAGCTCAGGAGCCAGGCAGAAGGAGAAATCCCACACAAGACAGGCTCTAGAACAATGTGGATATCCTAACTGGGCCTTCCTGAAAGCAGAGAAGAAACCCAAACAGGACTCCAGTCAGCCAACAGGTGAAAAGGAGGAACCCAAACCAAGACCAGTGGTCATTCCGTATGTTGAGGGAGTATCAGAGAAACTGAGATCTTTATTTTCTAAACACAACGTCCCAGTGGCTTTTAAACCCCAAAATACATTACGGCAAATGCTGGTTCATCCCAAAAATCCAGTCCCCCGGCACAAACAGAGTAATATTGTGTATGCTGTTCAGTGTCAGGAGGGCTGTGATCAGTCTTACATCGAGGAAACTAAACAGCCACTGGCCAAAAGGATGGCCCAGCACAGAAGATCAATATCATCAGGCCAGGAATCTGCGGTCTACACTCATCTCCAGGCCAGTGGTCACTCTTCCAGGGATGAAGATGTTCACATCCTGAATAGGGAGGAACGATGGTTTGAGAGAGGAGTAAAAGAGGCCATCTTTGTGAAAAGAAATCGTCCATCATTAAACAGGGGTGGAGGCCTCCGGGTTCAACTGTCCCCCTCTTACAATGCTGTTATTGCTAGTATCACTCAGCCCTCTGTGAATAGTAAACAGCCATCAGTGTGCTAATGATCCATTGTTAGGCTGATGGTCCTTCTTGACCATGTGAGCAGCTGGTTTTGGTTGTCAGCGGTAAACTGGTTAATCCACTCTGAGAAGGTGCTATTTAAGAGACTGAGCTGAATACAGCACCTCAGACTGAAGAAGTCTTTCGAATGAAAGCCGAAATGTTTCTACATTTTTTTTGTGTGTGTTTTGCTTTGCTTTGTTTTTTGAATGTCCAGAGGACCAGATTTAACTTTTTTAGATTTTTCTACCTGGATTATTGAGAATGCATCAAGATAGTCTGGATGTTCTTTTTCTTGCTTGGTCCAAAGCACACAACATCCATCAACCTTCTCACCGTCAATTATGATCTAGAATACAGGTTTGTCTGGGAACAATGCATGTTTCCTTTCTGTGATGTTCATTGCCGATGCCTCAACAATCTGAGAAGTCCATGATACTTGATAAGGTTAACATAAAACTTAATTTTCTCACAGTACAGTATGAAGAGATATTTGTGAATTTTAACACTGTGTTGTAGTGATTTATAAAGTTTTTCATATGGTTTAATTGGATGTTGTTGATGTATGTGTGCATATGAGGGTTCTGAGATCATGGTGGTCTAGCACAGACATGCTCACTCATCCATTAGGCACTGACATTTTCAGAATTCTTGTGTTTTTAAAAATTATATGCAAAAAAAGCAAACACACCTACCCCCACCCCCTGAACATAGGAGGATCTGCGATGGAAGTGGTCTCCAGTTACAAGTACTTGGGTGTGCACCTGAATGACAACCTCAGTTCAGCTGGGGCAACAACACCACCAGACTGATCAAAAAAGCACAACAGAGACTCTACTTCCTCAGGTGACTGAGGCGAGATGGTCTGGGAAGCTCAGTCCTCACCTCCTTCTATAGGTGTGCAGTGGAGAGCATCCTGTGCTCCAGCATCAACATGTGGCGTGGAGGCTGCACAGCTAGAGAGTGACAAGCTCTGAAGAGAGTGGTGAAGGCTGCACAGAAGTCTGTTGGAGTCAGCCTCCCCACCATCACAGACATCTACACCTCCAGATACAGAAAGAGGGCCACCTGCATCATGAAAGACCCCACTCACCCAGCACACACTTTTTGCCCCGGTTCTGTCAGGCAGAAGGTTGAGGAGCATTAAGTGTAGAACCACTAGACTGAGGAACAGCTTCTACACTGAAGCTGTTAAACTCATAAAATTATTTCAATTAAATAAAAAAATCAAACCATCTTTCCTACTACTATCCCTGATTCCCTGTCAGATGATGTAGCTTCAGAAATATTACTAGAGCCTGGTTTATGTTTGGACTGTTTTTGTCCTGTTGAGCTCTCTGAATTTTCAAAAATAAATGGTAAATGGACTGTACTTATATAGCGCCTTTCTATCTGATCAAGATAATTAAAGGTCTTTACACTACAATCTGTGCCTCATTTACCCATTCATACAGCACTCTACTATATCTCTACAAAGCTAATTGACCAAATCATTATAAAGAGACTAATCAGTGCTTTAGCTCACATTCATACTCCTAAGGGACACACATCGGAGGCAATGAGAGGTTCAGTGTCTTGCCCAGGGAGACTTCAGCATGTGACTGCTGGTGGATTCGAACCCCAACTCTTGCATTGGAGGACGACTGCTCTAACCACTCAGCCATAGCCACCCACAAATAATAAATCACCCCATTAAATAATAGCTTCATCCAAACCATCCACATGTTTGCTAGATCCCATCCCAACCAGACTGTTTAAAGAGGTATTTTCCTTAACTAATATCCACATTTTGGATCTGCCTAATTTGTCTCTAATGAATGATTACATACCACAGCATTTTAAGGTTGCTGTAATTAAACCTGTACTTAAGAAACATAATCTTGACTCAGGAATCCTAGCCAATTATAGACCTATATATAATATCAAGTTCAAGTTCATGTTGGTTTTATTATCGTTCGCATCACATGCGGTACATGATGTGGAACGAAATTGTGTACACAGGGTCCCTGTTTCATCCAACAATACCAATAATATAAATTGTAAAAAGAATCTGTAATTAGGATCTAAGTTATGAACTAAGAAATACGCTAAACACTATTAGTGCAAAACAATACGCCAAACAACAGCAGCACAAGCATGAGTCTGTGTGAGCAGATGAGTATGAATTAATACAGCATCATGAAATAATCAGCAGCATAGATAGTCAGCAGCACATCAACAATCAAGTGGCATTACAGTGATTATTTTGCAGTGATAATCCAGATTAGAGATTCATGAGTCTAACAGCTTCAGGGTAGAAGCTGTTCCTCAGTCTAGTGGTTCTACACTTAATGCTCCTCAACCTCCTGCCTGAGGGAAGTGGGGCAAAAAGTGTGTGTGCTGGGTGAGTGGGGTCCTTCATGATGCAGGTGGCCCTCTTCCTGCATTTGGAGGTGTAGATGTATGTGATGGTGGGGAAGCTGACTCCAACAGTCTTCTGATCTAACTTTCATCAAAAAAATTCTAGAGAAAATAGTTGCAGGTCAGTTGCGTGAACATCTGCAAATAAATAATCTGTTTGAGGAGATTCAGTCAGGTTTTAGAGCTCATCATAGCACTGAAACTGCACTGGTGAAAGTTACTAATGATATTCTCATGGCCTCAGACACTGGACTTGTGTCTATACTGGTCCTGTTAGACGTCAGTGCTGCATTTGATACAGTTGATCACAATATTTTACTACAGAGGCTTGAATATGATATTGGAATTACAGAAACAGCTCTAAAATGGTTTAAAACATATTTATCTGATAGATTCCAATTTGTAAATGTAAATAATGAATCTTCTTCATACACCAAAGTTAGTCATGGAGTTCCTCAGGGTTCAGTGCTTGGACCAATATCTTTATTTTATATATGCTTCCATTAGGTAAAGTTCTTAAACAGCATGGGATAAAATTTAATTGTTATGCTGATGATACACAGTTATATCTTTTTCAAGATGGCGCCGGTGTGTAGGGCTTGCCATCCCTCGCTCTCTGTTTTCCTTCTATTTTTGTTATTTTTACAATGCTTTGTTCTGTGTACCGAATCATATTTGAAGTATGATCGTCAGGCACTTTTGGAGCTCCGTAGTTTGCTGAAAAGCCTCTGGAATTTTTGTACAGTGGTCAGCACTCTCCTTCACCGGTTCTGTCTAGGACGCCTGCATTCCTTCTACATGACCCTGGCCTTTCTGCCTGGATGAAACATCACAGATGTCATGGGAAGCGTGCTGGGGTTTTGGGGAAACTGAGGCACCGTGTGGATTATTCTGTCAAGAGTTATGGGGCTCGCTTTGGATCTGATCATTGCCTCTGTGACCCATGGTGCTTCAGGGGCCCTGCTGGCCAGCTACCCACATATTGGATTTACTCTGCGTCATAGAATCTTGGATGCCGGAGAGTCCAGTGCCTTGGTGGAATTATTACCTCTGGACTGTCTGTGTTTCAATGCCCCGTGGCCATCAGGCCGGCGCGTTGGCGGATTATTAACAGTTTTTAAACCAAACTTTGCCTGTAAACAGTTGGCCATCCCGGTTTCCCGCTCCAGATTTGAGCTGAGCGTCTTTGAACTCAGACATTCTCCTCCAGTTCTGTGCATACTGGTCTTCCGCCCCCCTCGATCCAAGGATTTCATAAGTGAATTCTCTGATTTTCTGGCTGATATCACACTGAGATATGATCATGTTTTAATCATTGGGGACTTTAATATTCATGTGTGTTGTCAAGAGAAGCCCTTAGTGAAGGACTTTCTAGATTTATTGGACTCCTTTCATTGAACTCAACATGTAAATGGTCCCACCCAAGAACTCAGGCACATGCTGGACCTTGTTTAAACATGTGATGTCTCTCCAAAAAAGTTCAATCTGGTCCTCTGGACATTCAAAAAAACAAAAAACAAAACAAAGCAAAAAAATGTAGATACATTTCATCTTTCATCCGAAAGACTTCCTCAGTTTGAGGTGCTGTATTCAGCTCAGTCTTGTAGTGAACTAGGCCTCCGACCACAACCTGTCTCTGAAGACCTTCAGGGGACAGGAACTGTTACTTCATTGATCTGAATCCAGAAATACAAATTAGCTCATCAAGAGACTATTTAATTGTATCCTGAATTAATTAATTGAAAGAACACTCTTCCTTTTTATATTATCATTACTATTTTAGAATATCTTGATAATCAAAGTGTGTTTAGTTCATACCATTTCTAAATGTTGAAGTGAACCACTCATTTAAATCAACTGTGAAACAGTATTAATGATTTCTAAACCTCATTAGACTTAGAAATCAAGTTAAATGTCTATTTACAAAGTAATTGTGCATTTTGATCTTCTGTCTGAATGAGTGGATTTGATGTCAGTCAGAAGTCAGGGATGTCAGTCGAAAGAGAAAAGGCTGCACAGAAGTCTGTTGGAGTCAGTCTCCCCACCATCACAGACATTTACACCTCTAGATATAGGAAGAGGGCCACCTGCATCATGAAGGACCCCACTCACCCAGCACACACACTTGTTTCTCCGCTCCCCTCAGGAAGGAGGTTGAGGAGCATTAAGTGTAGAACCACTAGACTGAGGAACAGCTTCTATCCTGAGGCTGTTAGACTCATGAATCATAATCACTGTGACAAATCACATTTTGTTGTTGCTGATCTGTTTCATGTTGCTGTGTTCATTCATACTCATCTGCTTACACATACTCATGTTCGTGCTGCTGTTTGACATAATGTTTTTATGCTAATAGTGCTTAGCGTATAATTTAGCTGATGTTTTTCTTAGTGCATACTGTAGATTTTGTTACTGTGTTTCTTTTACATTTTTATTGTTGGATGTAACTGGGACACTGTGTACATAATCTTGTTCCACCACATGTAACATATGAGATGCAAATGACAAATAAATCTCTCCGACTCTGACTCTGATCCTTAGATGGCATTAATCTGGCCTCCGGTTCTAATGTTAAAAATCTTGGTGTTATTTTTGATCAGGACATGTCTTTTCTCCCCACATTAAAAATGTTACTAGAACTGCCTTCTTCCACCTGCGTAATATCACTAAAATTAGAAATATCTTATCTAAAAATTATGCAGAAAAACTGGTTCATGCATGTGTCACATCTAGACTGGACAATTGCAATGGTTTATTATCTGGGTGTACAAATACGTCTTTAAAACGTCTTCAGTTGATCCAAAATGCTGCTGCCAGAGTCTTAACTGGAGTTAGTAGGAGAGATCATATCTCTCCAGTTTTAGCTTCTCTCCACTGGCTCCCTGTCAAATCCAGAATATAATTCAAGATCTTACTTGAAACTTACAAAGCTCTCAACAACCTAGTTACATCTTATATTACAGATCTTATTGTTCCATATTTTCCCAACAGAGCACTTGGCTCTCAGACTGCAGGTTTACTTGTGGTTCCTAGAGATTCCAAAAGCAGAATGGGAGGAAGATCTTTCAGTCATCAGGCTCCTCTCTTGTGGAACCAACTTCCAGTTACTCTTTGTGAGGCTGACACATTATCCAGTTTTAAGACTGGGCTTAAGACTTTCCCTTTTGATAAATCCTATAGCAAGGGTTGTCTTGGGTTTCCTGAGCTGTCCCTTAGTTATGCTGCCATAGGCTTAGAGTGTTGGAGGACAAACTGACCACACTTTTTCACTCTGCTACTGTCTTTACTTACTCTGCTCAACCTGTTTTGTATTTGTAATTATTTTTTCTATCCTTGACGTGTTTTTGTCTTTCAGATACACCTGGACCTATATCTGGACCTGACATTCTGTGTTCGTCTGTTTCTCCTTCCTGTCCTCTCAAACCAGCCGGTCAAAGCAGATGGCTGCTTGTCCTCAGCCTGGTTCTGTTGGAGGTTTCTTCCTTTTAAAAGGGAGTCTTTCCTTTCCATTGTTGCCACTGTGCTTGCTCAGGATGGGAGACTGCAACGAAGCCCAGATTCAACTTGTCTGCTGGATTCCTTAGATACAGAACTTTACTAATTGGCTTTTTTATGTATGTGAATGTTCCTGTAAAGTGCCCTGAGACAACTTCGTTGTGAATTGGCACTATATAAATAACTGAATTGAACTGAAGTGAATAAATCCCTAACAAGGAAAATCAATGTAAAAAGAAAGAAAGAAAAATCACTGTAATGCCACTTTAATTGGTGATATGCAACTTCATCTGTGCTTCTGATTATCCTTGCTGCTGTTTTATTGCCTTTAAGCTGCTGTATTCATACCCATCTGTTCACGACTCATGTTCAGGCTGCTGCTTAATAAACCATATTATTTTACATTATTATTGTTTTGCATATATCTTGGATCCTTATATACTTTTTATACTTTATATTTTTGCTATTGTTGGATGTAACTGGAACAGTGAGTACACAATTTCATTCCACCTCAGGTACCACATGTGATGTGAATGACAAAAAAGAACCTTGAACCAATGTAGTTTTTAAACAGTTTTTATTTTTAATTAATTTGTTGACGTTTTTAAAGTCCTTTGCCAACCTTGTCTTCTTCAGGCTTTTATATGATCAGGCTTTGTATTAAATCTTGGTGACTTTTATTACATTGCTTGTTAGAAGAGAGTAAGTTTCAAAATCTCATTTTCAATACATGAAATATCTTGGGTGCATGCCAGCTACTAATTTTTTTTAAAGTAAAATATACAAAGTATTTTAAATGATCAGATTTTAATTGAATATAAACACCATCTTATTCTTTTCCAGAAAACAGAACTCTAGCATTTGGTTGGTTAAAGCTGGTAAACTTATTGTACATTTTTGCCAGTAAAAAGTTGTTTGGCCATGAACAAAAGCAGAAGAACTAACTATCAATAAAAAAAAAATAAAAGTTCAAACTCATATTAAGGAAGCCCTGCACCGTCAAGACTTCAATAACAGCAGCACCACAAACACTAAAACCTCTGAAAACTCATTTATAGGAGCGGAAACAGATATCACATCATCAGAGGGAGAGTGGGACAGACAGTAGATAAGAGCAATTTCCCTCCTACCTCCCCATCTTGTGTGCCAACGTGCCGAAGATGTTGGTTCCAATAAGGTAGGAGATGGACGCTGGTAAGAAGGCGATGCCTGTGCCACCGACGGACACACAGAGACACAAGGGTAGAAAGTTGTGGGCAGGATTTCCAAGATAAAGAGATTTCAATCAGGGCCTCATCACAAGCTGTTGTACATCTTGTATTGTCTGTAATGAAGTCCCCTTTCTACCTGCCAGCATGTGACACCCTAATATCCTGTTCCCCTCTCATCCTCTTTATCTGACCTAGACTTCATATAAAACAGTGCCAAAACAACCAACAACTAATAAGACTGTTTCAGGACTGAAAAAAACTATAGATGAAACGTTTGAACAACTTCACTGAGTTCATTTAAACATAAGCATAATTAAACATATAATAATAATAATAATGTCATCACAATGTCAGCACTGTATGTTTCCATACAATGGCAAAATTAGTCTCTGCATTTAACCCATTCACCACCAGGTGGTGCAGTGGGCAGCTATTGAAAGCGCCCGGGGGGCATTTTGGGGATGAGACGTGCTGCCCAGAGACGTGATGTGCAGTGACTGGGGATCGAACCTGGGACTTTCGGGTCCCAAGCCGGCTGCCCTGCCTCTACACCATCTCGGCCCCCACATATGAACATATATAATGTCTACATCTTATACAACATCTACAGTGGCTTCAGAAAACATTCAGACCAACCCCCCCCCCCCCCAACCCCCCACATCTTACAATTTTATATTGCAGCCTATTCACTAGGTTAGTTTTATTTTCTATTAGTCTCCACTGGCGACTCGGCATCCATGGCCAAAGGGTTCAAAACATCAAAGTTCATGCTCAGTAAACAGATAAAAAATTAAACTAAGTTAAGTCAGTTCCTACTGACCTGGAGACGAGTTGACAGGAGAGAGGTCGGACTCCAGAAACCATCTTAGCACCATCAAACTGGTTGATCCACTATAATCCGCTATTTGTAAGAATGATTTTGTTGTGGCTCCTCTGACTGATGAAGTCTTTTGGATGAAAGACGAAACGTTTCAACACAAAGAAACTGTCCAGAGAACCTGACTCAACTTTGTTACATTTTTTTTAACTAAATTGTTGAGCATGAACTTTGATATTCATCTCTGTATTTTGTTCTACTCATCATTTCCTCCACCCTGAGCAGTCTCCCTGTCTCTGTTGTAAGTCAATGGGACCTGAATACTTCCTGAAACCAGTGTCTGTTCAAATAGGAAAATCCATACAAACAAAATCAGGAAAACAACATAGCTGAATAAAATTGCCAAGCTAAAAAGACAATTATGTGAAATAGTTTAGTAAAGACATTTTTAAGTACATAATGTACCTAGGAAAGATCCAAAACATTGATGTGAATGTGGAATTAATGAAACGTTGGTTACGTACTGTAACACCAGATTCTATGAGTATAGGTGTAGCCATTTAAGAGCTGTCACTTAAGTGGGTTTTATCCCGTCATGCGAAGCATTGCACTGAAAAATTTAGTCCACGCCCACCTGCTGTGTGGGCCCCACCAGTCCGTATAATTTACGTTAAGAGCGGGTAATCGGCTCCCAAATAGCTTTTTCTTCAGCCATTTAGGAGCCAGTGAGGCCCGACGCTTAAAGGGCTACACCTATACTCATAGAATCTGGGGTTACAGTACGTAACTGACGTTCTATTTCTTATAGGCTTCGCCCTTTAAGAGCTGTCGCTTAGTGGGTTAAGGGCGAAGCGGATGTGGTCCTCGCCGCACTGGGTCCATTCGAACATCGTATGAAGCGGAAGCTGCCCAAAACCATCTTGCCACTCAGCTCCCCATGTGCGTAATTACGCGTTGTGTAATTATGTGTACCATGCACAGATGCATGCTGTGTAGTTACGCGTTCTGAATGCATGAACGCTCCAGAAAAGTTTCAACGGGGAGGGAAAATGCTGAAAAGGAGCCATGAACCAACCGATTCATGGCTGAACAGTATGAACAGATTAATAATAGCAAGTGAACTGATTATTAATCAAATGAACTGTTTGGTAACAATAGTCATGAACTGATTAGTGACAATAGAACCAAAATAACAGTCACAACTTGTGGCTGATAACAACATCTCACACTGTAATGCATGCAGACAGATGTGAGTAAAACGGGGTTCCATGAAACAACAATATTCATTCTGTTAGAACACTAAGTACAGAATGTGTCATGGAACGAGTCGTCACATCACGTATATAGAAACGAATAAATGAGCAGGGTGTTGACCACGCGGCCGCAGTGCAAATATCCTGCATTGTCATACCATTATGCAAAGCAGTCGAAGATGCGATACCTCTGGTCGAGTGCGCCCTGAGGTTATCAGGAGGCTCTAAATCTGATGCTCTGTAGGCTTCAGAAAAGGCCTCACACAACCAGTGTGACAGGTGCTGGGTGGATAACGGGCGACCTGCAGATGCATCTCTATAATGCACAAACAAATGTTGAGTTTGACGCATTGCAGCTGTGCGCGCTATGTAACATGTCAACGCCTGCGCAGGACAGAGCAGATGGAAAGATATTTCTTCTTCTGATTTGTGGGGGGGAGGGAAAATCCCTCCAACGATATCGCTCTTGATTTAAAAGAGCTTGTGATGTTTTCGTGACAGGAAGAGATGGCTGCAGCGTACGTTTTAATCGTGCTGAACGCCAAATTTCTGTCCATCATCTGCTGCAGAAAGGACAGCACGTCGCCTAGTGGACATGAGATGGTCTCTACACCTTTCTCTGTACACCTTTTACAAAACGCTCCATCAGCGGATGATTAAAAGCTGTTCTGTCTCCAAAACAACCTTTGTGACAGGAAGAGATTGCCTCAGCGTACGTTTTAATCATGCTGAACACCAAATTTCTGTCCATCAGCTGCTGCAGAAAAGATAGCACACCACCTAGTGGACATGAGGTGGCCTCTACACCTTTCTCTGTACACCAGCGCTGAAAAGCTGTCCACTTTGATGTGTACAGCGCTGTGGTGGATGCAGCACGTGAATTCTGGATTGTGTGCACTACATCTTGCAGGAGACCCATCCTCTCTAAGCGGATCTGCTCAGCGGCCAGATTCACAGGTGCTGGTCTATTTCTGGGTAATTCCTGATCGCTCTTCCCACCTGGAGGAGAGCATCCTCCCTCCCCGGCAGTTTCCTGGGCTGTGAGCAAATACGTCCACCCCCAGCGGTGGTTCGTCTCACGTGCTCAGTGAAGCCCATAGTTGACATTGAGCATTTCCTCATGTCGCAAACAGGTCCACAGTCGCTTGCCAGATTTCTGCCACGTCTGGGCCATCAGACTGGAGTGGAGGGTCCACTCCCCGTGACGCGAACCGCCCCTGGACATCACATCTGCCCCTTGTTCAGAACACCAGGGATGTACACTGCTCTGATGGAGAGCAGATTTTGGTGTGATCAACACATTAATTTTCTCGCAATGTGTAACATTTGGGCTGAGCGCGCACACCCCTGCCGGTTTATGTAAGCAGCAGTAATCTTGTTGTCTGTGTGACTCAAAACATGTTGAAGCAAAGTGTTGAATCACATTCAGAACCGTGCAACATTCCAGAATGTTTATATGAGCTGTTGTGAGAAAAGGCCACAGTGCCCCTACAGCTCGAGATAGGCATGTCACCACCCAACCTGACACCGACGCGTCTGTGAAGACTGACACGTGTGACGTAGGTCTGCTGACCGGGACTCCCTCCGGCAGAACCAGGGGGTTTCCCAGTGTCGGAGATCTGTTCTCACGGAGGAAGGAACAGTGATCATCCGTCTCTTTTTGCCTCACCAGATCCATGCGCTAACAAGCAAACCATCTCTGGAGGCGTCTCATGTGTAGTAAACCCATCGGGGCCACAGTGTGAGCTGACGACATTGTTCCTAACTGCTTTATGATGGAAAATAGTTGTTACTACTCTGCCCAGCCTTACGTGGCGGAGCTGGACTCTTAGAGAGTCGATTCTCGTCTGTGATAAACAAATAAACGAGCCCTCATGGTGGTTGAGTTTAGCCCCACTCCCAGCTAAGAATCGTCTGGGCTGGGAGAATCAAACTTTTCCAATTTTATGGCGAAGCCCAGAATTAGCAGGTGTGACGTCAACACCTGAGCCTGTGCCGGCATGTGAAGCGGTCTGCTCACGATCGCCTTGTTGAAAAACTGACAGGTCCAAATCGGTCTTGTTCCTCCATTCCGTTTGGAACTAGGAAGTAACGTGAGTAAAAACCTGTGTTTTCCTCTCCGTCGGGAACCCCTGGACTTCTGCCTTTAGGGATGAGACCTGGTATGGATGAGGACCATCTCTAAAACTCCTCCGAACAGAGGGGGTCGGGCTGCAAGTTGCAACGTGTAACCCCTGCTATCACCTTGGCCATCCATGTCTGGCAAGCAAGCCCGCAGCCACTCCGTGTAACGTTCGTGGAGTGGGCGCGCATTTAGGTGGTGCGTCATGTTTTTACGGATGTCAGCCAATCCACCGCCTCGGCCGCCGTCATGAGCCGCGGGAGTGTATTCCGCGTGACCCCAAACTGAGGCTTCCTTGAAGGGCTCTGAGCGCGTCTGTGTGCTGCGCTCGGGCTGCGGGTCCACATTCATGTCTATGTGGACCGGCGTGTGTTGAGGAGAGGCGTGTGAAAACTGTTGATGCTGCGGGAGCGCGCGTTTGAAACCATTGCGGTGAGACGCGTGTCGCTCCTACCGAGAGCGAGATTCGTTACTGGGCTCGATTAGCGGTCTTACGTTTATGTTGACATGAGTGGGCGAGCGCTGAGAAGCTGTGTGCGCACCTTCATCAATGCAGTGCCGTTGGGTGAAGGCTACTCGCGTCGTGGGAGCACGCGTTTGACACCACTTCGGTGAGGGGTGTGCAGCTTGGGCTGAAACGAGTTATCCCACAGAACTCAATCTGCGGACCACATTCGCTTACGGCTGTTGTGTCATGCGGGCGTCTCACCTTGTTTTGGAGCGACGGTGATTGAAAAAAACTTTTAAAAGGCCACCGGCTCATTCGTGTGGAGGATGTGTGAAGGAGCCGCTGTCAGGTTCATCCGAGCCGACACACTGGCTAAAATAGACTCTTTCATCATTAAATGATGTTTTATTCCAAAACTCGAGTCATCTTCACACACATCCTCCGCAAACCGTCATTTTGTGTCATCTCCCCCTGAGCTCTGCGGTTTGTTGTCCTAGGGCGCCACCTGTTGGCGATCTCCGGGAAACGCTGAACCTTCGGATGCCAGTGATGTCTGACGGGCGTGGCTGGTGTAGCGGAGCGGGGAGGAGTTGTGTAGCCGTGGAGAGTCTTGAAAACGATCCCTCGTTGATAGGGACCCTCTAACAAAAAGGCTTTCTGCAGCTCCTCCGAGAGGAAGGTGGAGTGACGGGCCAGGTGGACCTCGTCCTCTGGCTGCGATGCGAGACCGGCAGACAACAAAGCGGCGCACCGGTTGAGGATGACTTCAGCTGCCTTGCAGAGGGAGCGTTACGTCTCCTCCCGCCTCTTGACGTTGTACACCAGCAGCGTAACATGTTGTTCGCTGCGGCCGCCTGGAATGCACACTGGTGAGCTCGGTTGGAGAGCAATGTCACCATCTGGTTATGCTTACCCAGAGGCGCAGGACGCTGGTCCAACCTGGAAATCTTTGCTCCGAAAGCCTCCGCCAGGCTCGGCTCCAGGGGGGCACTGAGGGAATTTCCGCTTGGTGAAACCCCTCCACTCTGGTGATGGGCGCAGATGTGGGAACCGGTGTCGTCCCAGTAGGATGTCACTGCTGGGAAAATGAGGCCAGATGGGATCAGGACGGCGAGCCGGAGTGGAGCCAAGAAACCTTCCCGCTAGATCGTCCGATCAGGGCGGGGAAAGGAGAGGGACGGAAAAAGTCCCTTCATGTCAGCTGCCTCCTGGATTACGCCGGGCAGCTCCAGAGGAGGGCATTGGCGGCTGGGAACGGTGTGGTCGCCGATGCAAAACAAGGTGGTGGTGGTGGGTGGGGGGGGGGCATTCGCTCAGCCCCCCTCTACCGACACTACGCTCTCCAGGAGGGAATGAGCAGCGGAGGGCTGCTGCTAACGTCGCCTGTCCCGGAGAAACCATCCGATTCGCTCCGAGAGTCGGCGATAAGAGGAAAATTACAAGATGGCGTCGTCCAGCGTGTAGCGACCTGCCACTGAGAATACTCCTCGGTGCTTACCTTGAAACAAGACTGCTCGTCTGCTTCTCCTCGGGGAGTAGAACTCACCGGGACGACAGGAGGTTGATGTGGCGGGGCCACAGGCAGCCTTAACAAAGGTTGGTCAAGCTAGACAACTTTCCTTCTTCGTTCTTCTGACAGTGCTATTAGCTTGCTGAAGAAAAATGGGAGCCGATTACCCGCTCTTAACGTAATTTATACGGACCGGGTGGGGCCCACACAGCAGATGGGCATGGACTAAATTTTTCAGTGCAATGCTTCGCATGACGGGATAACACCCACTAAGCGACAGCTCTTAAAGGGCGAAGCCTATACGAAATAGAACATTGTGTTCAGCTTGTCACAAGAAGCTTCCAAAGCCAAGATATAATACTACAGTTCAACAACATGAGTAATATTATCTGACAAAAATGCTTATTTTTACTACAGGAATGTCTGCAGCTATCACATTATGCAAAATAATTTTTTGCTGCATATGGCTACAAAAATGGAGAAAATATAAAATTGTAAAGATGGAATTTTTGTCACACTTGGATTGCTCAACTCCACTGAGTTGCACTGTTGTCCATTTTCACTGAAAGTACATAAGTGTCCTGCTGCTAAAAGTGATTTGAGCTTTTGCACATATCTGTATTTTTTTCTGTTAGCAAAATATCTCATGAGCCACTGCTTGGATTTATTGAAACTCTTAAAATTAAATAATTAGATTATTAACTAAACTGGCCAGCACTGCTAATCAGCATTTACCAATAGAAAAATACATGTATTTCCAATCTAGTCATTTTTTCAGATATTGAGTTAAATTTGTTGTGTTTGTAACTCTCTTGATTTATTTAGACACTCATGCCTTTGAGTCTCCTTATTGCATGTTTGGTTCTTAGGTCCTGTGCAGTATGTTTTTCTTCTGTGTGCTGAGCAGAGCTTTGTAAATACCTAGTTGCCATTTCCTGGCACACATGGTCTCCATCATCCAGATTGGCAGCGTGGGCTCCATCATGGCAATAGCCATATTTCCAAAACAAATGGCACCTGGAGATGAAGATTAAAGATAAGTGTGTTCAGTGTCAATTATGATCTGTTTGTGTTCTTTGGTGCTAATGTGTTGTTCTTGCAGCCCCACGGACCGACATAAACGCAGCCTGCTCTCTTTGTTACCCTTCTGACTCTGTAATGATGTGGTGAAAACGGCTTCCTCACATACTGTACATGCTGTATGCAATTTTAAAGCCAGAAACAGTATTACCTCTCCTGAACAAAATACATATACAGTGTAGGTACTAACCAAAAAAGTTACAAAAGCTGGACTTGTTTTATTTGTAATATTAGACTTTAATAGAGTCTTTTTGCAGCTAATGCAGCAGGAAGAATGGACAAAGACACGTCCAGTTCAGCTGTGCAAACATTAGGCTGGCTGTCAGTGAGAGAGTCTGTCATCATCATATTGTTATAGAACTGAACTGTGCCTCATAAATCTGTTCAAGTTTAGCTCTAAATTCCAGTTTCAATGAAAAATCCAACAAAATGTCCTCTCACTTTTTCATATATATTTAATTTATTGTGCTGTGTTCATGTTGCAACTGTTTCTCACTGCATGGAATAAAATTACACTCAAATGCAGCTTTCAGTACATTCAAACATTAGGACTAAAACTTTGTGGAAGCAAGAGAACTGCATCACCAGAAGGCTGTAAACTCCAAATTAAAATGCATATTGTGTTTGTGGAGCAAACAAACACTAAACACAAACAAAAAGCACTTTACTGCTGTTTAGTTGGTTTAAAAATGTAGTTGAGAGCTTTGAAAGCAGTATTCTCTAGAAACATTGTTGACACAATACGTTAGATAGGATTTAGAAAGACCTTTGTTTGGAGAAATAAAAAATTAGTTGTGACTGGACTGACAAGCAAATGTCTAATCCAAGAGTGGCCAAGACCAATGGGGTCCGCTGCCATTCTAAAGGAGCTCTGATCTCAAAGCTAATTGAACAAATAGTTCAAAAGAGACTAATCAGAGCTTTATCACATTCATACACTGATGGGACACATATCAGAGGCGATGAGGGGTTCAGTGTCTTGCCCAGGGACACTTCGGCATGTGACTGCTGGTGGATTCGAACCCCCAACTCTTGCATTATAGGACGGCTGCTCTAGCCACTCAGCCACAGCCCCATTTTAAGACAGTGTTCAACATTCACCTTGACCCCATTCAGACTAGCCATTAACTCAGTCCTTTCAGAAAAACAAGCCTTTCTCCAAACTGAGCTTACAAAAAACATGATTCATTGACTATTTTCTTTCTTCTTTACCTCAGAAACAACTTCCTGCTGCACCCAGCCGTGTAATCTTTGATTGTTTTAGTGGTGCAAAGATGAACCATTATAGTCTTAATGGTAACACTTTACAATAAAGTTCCTCTTATAGATGCTAATAAATAGTTCATAGATATGTTATTAATTCCTCTATAAACACTTTATAAATCATTAATAACTGCTTATTATGCATTAATTAAGGGTGCCAGAAAGACTCTTGCCAAACAGTGAGCCACATCTTTTCACCTATATATTTCATCTAGAGTTGTTATATTAAACATCTCAGACTAAGTTACTACCTTGTAAGCACAATAAACATTTGTAAACCTATTATTTATAGGATATAATATTAGTTGTAGATACTTAATATGCAGTGATAAAGTACAGTTTTATATCCTAAAACAAATTGGTTTACAAATGCTTATTGTGCTTACAAGGTAGTAACTTAGTCTGAAATGTTTAATATAACAACTCTAGATGAAATATATAGGTGAACAGATTTGGATCACTATTTGGCAAGAAACTGGTCAGTTTTGTCTCTGTCGCCCTTAATTAATGCATAATAAGCAGTTATTAATGATTTATAAAGTGGTTATAGAGGAATTATTAACATATCTATAAACTATTTATTAGCATCTATAAGGGAAGCCTTATTGTAAAGTGGTACCACCGTACAAAATGTTAAATAAGGAACTTTTGCTGTTGTTTTGAATGAGCTAAAGTAATTGATTTTTTTTGTCTGCTTTTTACCCAACACCAGTAAATAAGACAAACTTCCAGATGCTTCTACATAAACACTCACTTCACTACTAATTAGCTTTTATAATGTTTGTGAATATTTTTTCACAGTGACCTGAGACGACTTCTGTTGTGATGTGGCGCTACAGAAATAAACTGAACTGAACTGAAACCTCCCTAAAATCAGTTGTGAAACTTTAATTGTCTTACCAGCTGCGATTAAAATGTATGGATCCTTCATGAGTGTCAACAGTGGAGTTCCTTTCTGACTCTGTGTGAAAGAAAAAAGTAAATAAATAAATAATCAACTTTACATACTTAGGAATTTCTAAGAACATTTAGACTGGATGATCAAAGACTTTATGAAACTAATGATAAGTTATATTCATACATAACAACCTACCAGGGCTTCTTTTAAACCTGATCAGATACATCCAAAAAAGTTAAATCTGGTCCTCTGGTCATTCAAAAAAAAAAAAAAAAAAAAAGCAAAAAAATCTAGAAACGTTTCGTCTCTCATCCAAGAGACTTCCTCAGTCTGAGGAGCTGTATTCAGCTCAGTCTCTTAAATAGCACCGTCTCAGAGTGGATCAACCAGTTTGCTGCTGACAACCAAAACCAGCTGATCACATGCTCAAGAAGGACCATCAGCCTAACAATGGATCATTAGCACACTGATGGCTGTTTACTGTTCACAGAGGGCTGAGTGATACTAGCAATCACAGCATTGTAAGAGGGGGAC